ACACATTTAAGAAATTTAGGTTCCAATTTCCCAACATTTTGGTGAACATAAGCAGCACACCCAAAAACCTTTAAATGAGATTCATCATTACAAAATTCCAAACCATTATCAGTCCTCAGAAATTTAATTTTGTGTTATGTCTAATTTTCAATTTGAGTTTTCCAATTTTTGAAACCTGAGAAAGTCTCATCTTTAGTTTTTAGTAAGAAACCCCAGATTTTTCTAGAATAATCATCAATTATCAACAAAAAAATATTTAAATCCATACAGAGTACAAACAATAGCAAGACCCCAAAAATCACTATGTAAGTATTCCAGAATTTGTTTTGATTTATGAATTTCAGTAGGAAAAGACAGTTTGACTTGTTTACCCATGATGCATTGTTCATAAGAACCAAAATCACCAAAATTTTGTTTTCCAAAAACTCCTTTTGTTTGTAAAAAAGTTAGGGCATTTTTCTCAATATGACCAAGTCTGTGATGCCATAATTTAGTAAGAGTAAAATTGTCAGAAACAGCAGAAGCAGTTAAACCAAGTAAGGGTTTGGCTTTCAAGAAATAGAGACCATGTCTTTTAGGGGTGCTTATGATTAATTCATTGCCCCTAAGAATTTTAATATGTCCTTAACCCATGTTTGTGTTAAACTCTATATTATCTAACATACCTAAGGATGCCAAGTTTCTTTTTAAGTCAAGTATATACCTAGCTTCCTTTAGAAACAGAACTTTTCTATTTTCCAATAACAGTTTTATAGTCCATATTCCTTTTACTTTGCAAGTATAGTTATTTCTCATTATAACTTACCCTCTAGCAGTCCTTTTAAAATCAAGAAAACAATTTTTATTATGGCACATATGGAAAGAACAACCTGAATCTAAAATCCGTTCATCATTCAGTTGTTTTTCCATATTCACAAGGACCAAACCAAAATTAGACTTAGCAATGCATTAGTCCCTTCATCAGATTTATCTTTCAAATCATTTTTCTTTTTGAAACAATCCTTTGCAAAATGACTCAATTTCCCACAGTAATAGCATTTTTTTCCTTTAGCCTTAGCTTTGGAATTATGCGTGTCATGAAATCTGTTTTTATTTTCTGAAAAAGGTTTAGGATGAAAATTTGATTTACCAAAAGGTTTCCCTTTCACAAGCAGACTATCTCCAGTGTGATTGTTACTAGAGTCAGAATTTAGTTCAAGGGCTTAATTTCTCAAGGAATTTATTGTAATATCATTTGTAAGATCCTCCCTATCATATTCCAAAGCTACCTTGATGTCCTTATATTTGTAACTTATGGAGTTTAACAGAACCACACCTATCTGATCTTTTGAAAGTTTTTCATCACAGGTAGCCAAGTCTTGGGTAAGTTTTGTAAATGTATTCAGTTTTTCATCCAAATCAACAGAAGGATTCATTTTGAAAAAAAAAGAATTGTTTTAACAAGAAACACTTGTTTGGAGTAGATTTGGTCACATACTGGGCATGCAGTTTGGTCCACAGTTCAGAGGCAGTTTTAGTCTCACCAATATATCGTATAACATTTTCAGACAAGTAAAAGAAAATGGTACTCCATGCAACTTCTTCAAGTTCAGATCTCTTTGCAGGAATCATATCAACGGGCCAACTATTGTTTATGGCCTTCACACATTTCATTTGCATTAAAATAGCCCTCATATTTTTACTCCGTAAAGTAAAATCAATTTTTTCGTCAAATTGACTAACTTTAAATTTTGCAGAGCCCATAGTATTTAAAACAAATAAAGCTTACAAAGCCAATTAATACAAGTGTGCAGAGAACATTAAGAGTACTAAAATGTGTCAATTAGAAATTCACAATAGTACACGCAGTAAAACAAGAATTTCAGTTATCAATCACAGACAGAGAATAAACAGAATCACGGCAACATAGATCACATAAACTATGTTCCACAGATTTCTCCAACAAGATTTTCCAGGTGCACACCCGTTCTTGATTAATCTCAGATTCCCAAGGCCTCACAGAAGCCTTTAGACAAAGACTAAGATCAATGGGGTTTAACGGTACACGGTAAATCAAAGGAAAAATCAAGAAACCCTAAAGTCTTGAATGTAACTTAACAAAAGTTTAGAAAGATCTCACACGGGGAGTTTAGAACTCGTTATTTTGCAATTTTGTTTAATAGCAATTCCAAAAATTCGCAGCCTTATCAAAACTTCCTTTCTACTTCAAGATCCACGTAACTTGCTCCCTTTCCAAAGGCTCTGATACCACTGTTGGGCCCGGACACACGATATTAGATCAAGAACAGAAAGTATAAAGTTTGTTTACTGAAAATAAAGTGCAGAATTTGAAGAACACAATCGATATGTTTCGGCCTAAGTCTCGGAGGTTCGGCGACCACATCCAACACCTACATCCCTCGTTGAGCATCTAATATTATGGATTATTCTCGGCTCCACTATAAAGCCCAAATCAGCAACAAAGGTTACAAGAATGTTCAGCACAATCACAAAGAAAGTACAAGAACACTTATCTCTCACTTATGCAGCAGCTAATCCACTCGAATCACAAAGAATCAAACACTAAACCAACATAAACAACTACACAGCCACACGAACACTTCACACAGATATTCACTCAGAATATCTCCACAAAGGAATCACTCTATTACACAATACAAACTCAAATCAGTGATTTGATTTACAGAGAGAAATCAGAGAGAAGTATTCAAAGAATGGTGCAGCCAGAGAGAGAGAGAGAGAACGAATGAATGAAACCCTAGAAATCGACCCTCGAGATAATGCCAAATGAAATGGCATTAAGTATTAGAACCATCCAGAAGCCAATCCAACGGCCACATTCTGTCCACGTGTCACATATCCAGTGATAAGCTTGAATAAAAGAGTTGTATTTGTCAAAACACCATTTTACCAAATTTGGAAGCAGCCAATTGAACCCGGTTCAATTCCAACAACTTTCAGAGAGAACCCGAGTACAACCATCTCCTTTTAGCCTTAATGGCTTAATCCAACATCGATCTCAAGGATAAATGATGAATTTAAGTGTTGCCAACAGCCAAGGCTCACATAAAAAATCACACATAATGCAAAGGCCAATCCCACTGAATCTCTTGCTACTCCCGTGCCCAATGTGCATATATCCCGACTTCTACCACTCCACTCGGGATGGCTGAAGACATGATAAAAAACTGGTTATCCACTAAGAATCATCACGTCAATTTTCTGCTACAGCTTACACTAGATGTGTTTGAGCAAAGTTCAAGTGGTGAAATTCTCCTAATATATGGGCTTGCATAAACTGGGTTCCTTCATTAATTTGTAAATAAATTACTATATGATTTTGTTTGTTACAAAGTTTTCCATCAATTATTAGCTAATAGTAGTTGAATGGATCTTATCATAAATTAAGAATCTTGATTTTCTCTACTTTCATGTCAGAACCCATGTTAGATTTGGTACTACAAAGAAAGAGAGAGTCTTCCAGCTGTAATGGCCTATAATGTTGAGTTTTTCTGAAGTGCCAAATGGATTTGTGGGAAGTGAGCATTGTGTTGACCTCAAAAAAATGTGCCAACAAAATTCCAATCATCTCTCCTTCACATAGACATCATCTGCACACTAAAACACTCCGTTAGGAGGAAAATGTGGCCGATTGAGAAAAAAGGTCGACGAGTGTTGCACTCAAACGATCAAGTCAACAACCGGATAAAAGCTAATATGAGTGCAAGAGAGGTAGAAGGGATTTGGCTAGGATTAGGATTTTCATATTCACATATATAGAGAGAAATGAAATGAGTCAAGTAAGTGCTAATGAAATGGGCCCACATTCAAGCCCTTGGTTAAATAAATAGGTCTAATCAATTCAATTGTTGATGCCAAGTCGGCATATATAGAACTCTTATGTCTGAGCATTTCACGTAATTTATAGATGTAACACATGGGATTATGCAGATGGTTCTTGAAAAGCATCAGCGCGCAAGAGGGGTGGTAACCTTTGTGGTGATGGCAATATGTGATGGTGGTTGTGATGAGTGGTGTGGATAGGAAGGAGAAGATTGAACACTATTCCTTTTTACTAAATTCTTTTCTTTTTGTAAATTTTATTTTTGTTTTGATGAAATTGTCCATTCGAAAAAAAAAAATGAGAGCAACTGCATTCCTAATGGCCTTACGGACGAAATTAATCCAAAATGATCAATCGTGTCGAGATTATAAATGTTTGAAAAGGTTAATGGAAAGATTTAAAGATTTGAATAAAAAATACAAGATGAGTAAAGGTTTGGAACCATTTGCACCAATTTTCCTTTTTACATATGGACGGTTGAGTAATGTGGTGGTATAATTGAAATGAGTCGGTAAGGTAAATTTAGTGATACAAAGTTTAAAATTCGGTAGCAACAAGTATATTTAACCCTGAAGACAGCCTGCAAGACTAATGATGATTAATTATTTGAGTCTCAATTATTTTTATTGAACATCGACATATATTCGTACGTTTAAAATATTTAATTACTTAGCCATATTTGGTACAAATTAAAATTTAGATTTTAATCTAAATCAAAGTCAACAATCAATTTTACTTTATTTTATGAGTCCCACAATTTTTCAACTACATATTTCATCAATTTCTATAAAAAATTACTAAAAATTTAATTTTAATCATCACCGAACCGAGTCAAAGTTACTAATTGATGCATAGACTCCTCATGATTAGCATAATAAATTGATAGCATTATTCAACCAAAAATTACAACCTTTGTTTTTGTTTTTAATTTACTTTTACTGAAATTTTGCTTTCCATGGTTAATAAGTGGATATTAATGTCCACTCAAGTAAAAGACTCCAACTTTGTTTGCATCTCTCTCTCTCTCTCTCTCGCTCTGTTTCTCTGTTATAAAAGACTCCAACTTGAGTCTCTAAACCACATTTTCTATGATGAATCTCGATGAATAAAACTTTCCCTTTTCTCTGTGTACTAAAGACGGTGATTTTGGGCGAAAATGTCGACTGTGGAGACTACCCCCGTGGATTTAGATGCAAATTTTTGTGTTGGTAGTGGTGGTACTGATATTCGCCGTCAGCGACGCCGCCGAAGACGGCGGAGGAGGAGACCCTCTTTGGCATGCAGTAGCGAGACCACCACAGACGGAAGCAGCTTTCGCTTTTCCGACACTGACTCAGACGACTTGGCGGCTGATGGAAGGCCCGAAAATTGCAGCATCTCTAAACGGGCCAAGGTCGTTCGCCGGAAGAAATTCAACCGTCCGGTGAATTCAGACTCAGAAGAGATTGATCTAGAATCTGGCGAGTTGGAGCTGAAAATGCAGAACAACTTGGAAGAAAAAAGAGTGATTCGGGATTGTAGAATTTGCCAATTGAGTTCGGAAGAAAATGTAAATTGCGATTCGGGTCGAGGAGATGAAGAATTCAATGGGATTTTGATTGAATTGGGTTGTAATTGTAAAGGTGATTTGGGGGCTGCTCACAAGAGCTGTGCTGAAAACTGGTTCAAGATGAAGGGAGACACGTGAGTTCAAATTCATATGCATTTATTTATTTATTTATTCAACGATTTACTGTTATTAATCGAATTATGCTGTGTTTTCATGGTAAATTTCATATAATGGGATGATTTTGAATTGTCTGAAACAATTTATATATGTAAATGCAATACTCTTGATGTCTGAGACTGGGATAATATTCGAAAACCACTCATCGACTTCAACAATAAACTAAACTGTGATTCCGATATATTTGGAGTCGACTACTTGAATTGTTTTTCAATTCAAGCATGTTCGGGTTGTCATATACATGGTAAGATGTAGATGCTGATGCTGATGCTGATGCTTGGACAGATGTTTAAGATACCTAACTTGTATTCTAGACAGTTCCTCAATACAGAGTGTTTGCATCCAGCAAACCTCTGAGATTCTGTGTTTCTACATTTGAATTCTTCAGACTCTGCTCTTTGGCCTGCATCTTTATTTTCTCAGTCGACATGACCTCTCTGGTTTTTCACAACATTCATTGAAGGTTAATCAAAATGAAGAACCATAAATTTCGAATTCATGTTTTCTTTTTACAAAATTCTTTGGTTTTGTGATGACTTGAGTGACTGAAACATATTTTATGTTCTCTTTGAGGAAGTAAAGTGTTGGAGAACTATCCAAGCTTGATGTACCCCCATCATAGACCTGACCTGCCCCCTACCCTTCCAGCTCGAGCTCATACATGCAATCAATCTTCCTTGGAGAATAAAGGGCCCTCTAATTGGCCGAAGCGAAAGCCCAAAGAACCATGAAGGAAGAACTCTCCTCAGTCCTCACCACCTCCTTTTTCGCCCTACTCTTTGATCTCAAGAGTTCTGAATACAACAATTATCTTTGAAATCATCTTCGTTTACTATCAAGAATCTAGATTTTAGGTTTTTTCTTTTTCATTCTTTATTAATCAATTCACTATTCTACACAACTGGTTTGTTTTGATTCTTTAAAGCAAAATTAGCTAAAAATAAGAACATCGAATCAGTAGGTAAAATTTGAAATTTTGGGCTTGAAATTTTAGAATGCATTTATATTTTTGAGAATTAAATTACCCCAGAGTTTGGTGTCCAGCTCTCTGGTCATTCTTGTTTGTTGTTTGTCCCTAACTTTTTGTCATTTCATTGTCTCGCGGTATCAAATAAAACATAACTGTCCAATAGAATGCAGACATTAACAAGGGACATCAAAAAATACGCAACTTTATTGAGTGGAAAATAATTCTGAGTTCAATTGACTTTTGTTGCCTTTTTGTTGTTCGTGTGGTGGGGTGACCTGGGGGTGTGGGGGGGGGGGGGGTTTAATCTGCAAGCCTTTACCTTTTAATGAATTAGGTTATGGAATACAAAAATTCGACATTCTACTTATACATATTCTGTTTATAGATACGTTATATCATCTTTGATGGGAAATACGTAAGTGCTTGTTGACTTTCTTGTATACATTTCCCTACGTAAGTGCTTGTTGACTTTCTTGTATACGTGAGTGCTATACAGAATTTGGCTGCGATTTTTCTTCAAAGGTTTCAATTTACATGTCAAGTGGAGTGCCTATCAAGTTATAGTTACAATTTGCAGTACTGTCTTGAAACTCATTTTGTTAGTGGAATGCTAATGCAGAAATGATTTTATTGTTCCATTTCTTAACATAAAACAGCCATTATGTGCGGGGTCGGGCATGGATCTATTCCAGTTTTTCGAAATAAAGTCTCTGTCACTTGAGGGGCTGTGCCCAGGGGAAGGATTTGCACAATGCTCGCTCCAGTACTCCAGAACTTAACAATAGTCTTTCTGTAATTTTAATTTGCATTGCAATCTAAATCCTCTTCTAGAAATGCATCCCCCATCAAGCCTTTGAATAATCTTTTGATATTTGTTAATGATTTAATTGCTTCTTTAGATCTTCCACAAAATCTAAAAATAAACTAGGCAAAGTGGAGAGAATGGATTCATGTGGTCGAACCCAAATTTATTAGGAAAAAGTCAATAGTTTATAGTTGTATTATGCTGATGCACGTTCTTTGAATTATCAATACAGTTACCTCTTAGTAGGGTGTCAACATCGTCTCTGCCACCATAATTATGTGTTGCAAACCCCTTATTATTCACATGAATAATCTTCTATCGAAAAATCTTGTTTTCTACACAACCTACACAGCCTCTAATTGGCTGATTATACAGAATGTTCATGTCATTATGAATATGGGCGGCCTTGGTATATATGATTCAGACCAGTTTTGGGGTTTGAATAGGTGACGGAATGATTTCCTCCTTTGTTCGACCGCATAATTTTGTTACATTATGTGAATGTTGTGCAAGATCAGGATGGTCTGGAGGATTGCCAAGTCGGAGGACACCATTGGGTTTATTTAAGCAAACTCCTTTTATTTTTTCCCTTTTCCTTTTCCTTCAAATAATAACCCAAACGATGAGTCTCCTGTTAGAATACTTTCAATGAACTTTTCTTAATTAGATCCCTCAATAAGTTTTCTGCTTGTATATTTTGTACTTCTCTCACCACGTTGAATTTATTTTCTGCAGAATTTGTGAAATCTGTTGTGCCAATGCACTGAACATCGTCGGCGAGCAGGCGGTCAACATAAACATTGCAACTAATGCAGCTTCATTGGAAACGCCTGTGTTCGTCACCGAGAATGAAAGCTTCTGGCGTGGTCGTCGGCTTTTGAATGTTCTACTTGCTTGCATGATTCTGGCCTTTGTCATTTCTTGGCTTTTTCACTTTAAGGTTCTACCATAAGTCCTGATGCTGTCAATATCTGTCAACCTTCAATGAAAAAATCAATTCCAAGAAAACTGAAGTGTGCCTACAATAAGGGGGCGGTGTATTCCTACGAGGATACTCTGATACTTAAGTCAGTTCTATAAAAGATATAATTAACCGGAGAATGTTATTTGTTATGTAAATTGAACTGAAGAGCCTGTAGGAAGCTCTATTTATAGTTACCAGAGTTCCCATATGATAGAGTCTCGACCCATCTGATTAGAATTGAACCATAAGAATCCTGTTTGGGCTAAATTTAGTTTTAAGCGTTAGCAGCACAATATTTTGATGTAGCCTGGATTACATATTACCTACAAGACAAATTTTACATTATTGTATGGGTATCTTTTTCCCATGGATCTTTGAGCATCCATTCTTGTACCAATTAGATGGTTTGGCTTAGCAATGGTCTGGCAGATTTGGCATCATTTGTCTAGAGCCAGTTTTGCTATCTCGATCTTATTGTTTCTTCAACACAATTTTTGACACGTTAGCACATAACTTCTTACCAAATGGGAAGGTGTCAATGCATTTTTGGCTCATCAACACGTAATGCTTTGTCATCTTTCCATTTGCTAAAAGGGGGTGATGTCCCAATGTCTGAAAAATGTACAGGGAGAGTAAAAAAGAAAGCAAGTTGAAACAACAAATTTCAACTCCACTTGCCAAAGCTTTTAACACTTTTAACTTTTTTGGTCAAATTTTTTTAGGGCTCGTTTGTCGTAATTTTTATTTTTGCTTTTACTTTTGTTTCTTATAGAAGAGTTTTTCGAGAAAATTATCTTAATTTTTATTTGAAAACTAATTTTAAAAAATATTTGTTATTCCAAAAGTGCGTTTAGAGGAAGTTAGGGTCTGTTTGATTACAATAGTGAAATTTTGGTTGAAAGAAAATGAATTACATGGAATTGAATTGACTAGAATTGTTTTCCTGAAAATTGTCAATTAATTGTGTTTGATTAGTATAATTTTTCACGTGGAAAATATTGAAATTTTGGATCTTTTGGTATTCGTTTGACTTTATTTTTTATGAAAATTGTCTATTAAAGAGAATTTTTTTTGTTTTCCTGAAAATTGTCAATTAATGGTGTTTAATTAGTATAATTTTTCATATGAAAAATATTGAAATTTTGGATCTTTTAATATTCGTTTAACTTTGTTTTATATGATAATTTTCCATTAAAGAGATAAAATTTGTTACAATCGGGAATAGAATTTGTTTCTATTGCCAAAAAAAATTAAAAAAAATGTAAACTGGAAAAATCAATTCCCACCAATCAATGAATTAGCATCGTGTAAGCCAAAACCAAGAAATGAATTGTCAAGAAAATTAAACCAATCAAACAAGTCAAAACCAAGAAGACGGAAATCAATTTCGAAGTTCCCGGGAAATGATATCAAATCAAACAGGCCCTTACATTAGATTAACTTCCTCTAAAAATTCTTCTAACTAGAGAAAAATATTTAAGGTGCGTTTGATTACAAGCATGCAATTTATATGAAAAGAAAATAAATTATAGGCAATTCAATTGTTTAGAACTTATTTGTATAGAATCTATTAATTAAATGTGTTTGCCCTCAGGGCACATCTCCAAATGGTAAAAGGGGAAGGTGAAAAAACTCAAGTTTTGCTTGAGGTTGATACGTCAAGGTAAGGGTGCGTTTGATTACGAGTATGGAATTTGTATGGAAATAAAATATCTTCTAGGCAATTCAATTGTTTAGAACTTATTTGTATGAAAATTATTAATTAAATGTGTTTAATTGATTTAACTTTCAATTTAGAAAATATTATAATTTTTCATTTTTTATTCGTATGTAGATGAGAGAGTGGATAGATAAGAAAGAGAAAGAGGGAGTGAATTCCTTGGAAAATAAAATCCACTCCCCCTAAAGAAAATATTTTTCTTGATTTTGAGGAAAATATGATCCATGACCAAAATAGGAAAATGTTTTTCATGAAAAAAAATGTTAATCAAACAACACAAAATTAGGAATTTGGGGTATGTTTGAATCACATTATTTTGGAAGAATGTATTTTGGAATAGTAGATTGACGGAGAATGTGTGATTGAAAATGAAGGAAAAGTTATTGATGTGATGAAAAATATTATTTTATTGAGAATTAGATGGAAAAAGTAAATTTTTCATGAAAAATATTGGAAATCAAACGTGCCCTTCGACTATGTTTGATTGGTTTTATTTTCCATCGAAAATGACATTTTTTCACCTAACTTCTTACTTTTTGGGTGTTTAATTGTTCATTTATTCCATGTAAAATATTTTTCAACTTTTAATCATATAACCATATTTTCCTCATAAATAAGGAAAATATTTTCTTTAAGCGGGATAATTTTTATTTTCCAGATAATTTATTCTCTCTTTCTCTCTCATCTACTCATTAATAAAAAATGGATAAGTATAATTTTTTCCAATGTAAAAAACTAAATCAATCAAATATATTTAATTAATAATTTTTATATAAAGAAGTTCTAAACAATTAAATTGCTTATAATTTATTTTCTTTTCATGCAAATTTCATACTCGCAATCAAAATCACTCTTATATAAAATTAGTTAATCGAGTCCAAAAGTTGCTTTTGAATTTAACAACTTATTTTGAATTCAAACAGATCCTTGAACTTGTTTAAAAGTTACTTTTAAGGAGGATTTTTAGTCCTGACATGGATATTTAAATGGGAGTTTTAAACTTAGCCAAACAGAGTGAGGTATATTATAGTTTTCGTCAGATTTTTTCTACTTGTTCGTGCAGATTTTTTATTTCAATTTTTTTATTTTATTCAATGTGTTGGAAGTGGATAAAAAGAAATGATGGTCATCGGTTTGGTCAAACAATAAAAGTTGAGAATATACCATTCGTTAAACTTTGACTTCATACATTGCATAAAAAAATGTAACTTAACTCATTATGACATTTATGTCTCTATATTTTTTTCATCGAAATTTTATTATAAAGTTAATATAAATTGTCCTTAATGATAATTTTTGTCCAAAAAATTTATTAAAATGAAGTAAAAAGACTTAGTTGATCCCCGCATTTTTTAATAAGTCAAGAAAATATATAAAATTAAGACTAAATAATTGTCCTCGTTTTAAAGTATGGTAACATTGTTTTTTGATGAAATTTATGATTAAAGACAGAAGTTTCTATTTACTTAAAGGTTAAAGGTAAGGATATGATGATGAAAAAAAAAGTTATATATATATGAAGGTTAAGGACTTTGGTGTAATTAAAATGTGATTTATTTATAAAAATATAAGGATAATTAGCACATAAAATCCTCACCTTTCATTGTTAATGTGGGAAACATCACTACCTTTCATTTTTTGGCGTTTTCACCCTTATTTTCATCTTTCATTACGCAAAAGGTCATTTTCATCTATTTTCTCAATTAAAATTATAAAATGACAAATATATTATTCTCTTTAAATAAAACAAAAAGAAAAAAAAAACTAATTGCAGCTATACTCCCAATTTTTTTAAAAAAATGTGCAAATGAGTTCCAAATAAATTATTAAAACGGTAATTAGAATATAATGTCCATATCTTTCACCGTTATTACGAAAAGCATTCATACCTTTCATTTTTTATCTTTGTCATCCTTACTTACATCTTTGATTGTGCAAATCCATAATTTCCATAATTTTTTTATCCAATTTCTCAATAAAGAACTGTTAAATAATGAATATACCCTCTTATTTAAATAAAAAATATTTTTTTAATTCTTTAATAATTTATTTGGGACTCATTTGCACTTTTTTTAAAAATTTAATTTTTTAATAATTTATTGGAGACTCGTTTGCACTTTTTAAGAAAAAATTTAGGACTATAGTTATAATTAATTCTTTAATTTTTTTGTTTAAATATGAGGGTATATTAATCATTTCACAATTTTTTATTGAGAAATTGGATGAAAATGGATAGAAATGATAGTTTGCGCAATTAAATGTGTAATTAAGAGTGAAAATGCAAAAAAAATAGGGACTTTTTTTGCAGTTAATGGTAGGGACATTAAGTGCTAATTACCATTTTAATAATTTATTTGAGACTTATTTGTGCTTTTCAAAATATTTGGGACTATGATTGCAATTAATTTTTTATTTTTCCTTTTGTTTTATTTAAAGAGAATGATATATTCGTCATTTCACAATTTTTAATTGAGAAAATGGATGAAATTGACATTTTGCGCAATAAAAGTTGAAAATGAAAGTGAAAATGCCGAAAAATGAAATGTAAAGACATTTTCTACAAAACAGTGTAATGTGGAGATATTGTGTGCTAATTACCCAAAACATAACCCCTCTTTTTAACTTTACCTAAAACGCTTATAAGCTTTTAAATAATATTTTTTAAATAGAGAAAAGCCACTCCCTTGGTTGATTTTTAGAGGAAATGTGTAAGCTGCTATTCAGTATAGATTAAAATGTAAAATCTAATTTTAATCTCAAATTAAAGTTAATAATTAATTTTAATCATAAATTTCATCAACTTCTATAAAGTTCACCAAAAATCTAATTTTAATTTATACCAAATAGGAGTAAGAAAGATCGAAGTAGTTAGGAATAAAATTGTTTTTTGGAAAAATAAAATAGGACTGAACTCCCAAACCTAAAGGTGTCAATCCGGGTGGGCCGGGCAGGGTCGGCTCGCCAACATATGAGCCCGATAACGGCCTGCGTGGAAAAAAGCCCGCCCGCTACGGGTTCCGGACCGATTCCGGATCGACCCACAAATTTTGGACTACAACCCAGCCCGCCCACTGACCCATTCGGGTCGAGCTCATACGGGTCGAGAGTTGTTCCAAAAATTTTTTATATTGACAGCAAATTTTTTTTTTTTTAAATGTAAACTAAGAATTGAACAAAATGATAAATTCATATTTATACCAAGAAATGTTTACATAGAATTCAAATTATATATTTGTTTCTCAATCAATATTCATGAACGGTAAGATTT